TAGAGCAAGGGGAGGGCAACAGGCTAATTGTTTAGACCTAGTTTTCACGAAGCATCTTGACAGTATAGACGAGGTATGCTGCCTACCTCCACTTGCTGGAAGTGAGCACGCTGTACTTTCGCGGAATTATGGTCTTTATTCTGTACCTCCTGTAATAAACGAACCGAGGCCGAATATGTGGCTAGACGACTTCTCCCAAGTAAGAGCAGACACATCGCAAAAAGACTGGGATATTCTGTTCTCCGGGGATTTAAGTGACAACTGGAATTAATTTAAGGAGCGGTCGTTGCATTTGACGCAAGGACATTGTCTACTATTAGTGCCCAACATATCTTACCGACCTCATTTGCGGACAAGGGATCTAAAAAGAGAGATCAATAAGAAATGTAGACTTTGGAAGACGTTTTGTGGAACAAACCATAAGTAAGCTTTCAAAAAATATATAATCCACCGTAGCTAAATAAAAAGCTGGATTGTTAAAAGATGACGGAATTTTAATAGTAATTTGCTACATCCAGCAGTAAAAAATCCCAAGTTGCTATATAGCTACTTAGGAAAAAGCACATGTACCAGAAACCCAAGTGTGAAAAGAAAGCCGAACACTTTTCTGAGATCTTTCGCTCGGTATTCACCACAGAAACAACCTTTATCAGGCCTACTGACGAGATTGGGGTAACGCCAACTATTGATGACATCCTGTTTGGAGAAGAAGTCATTTTTAGAGAACTAGACAGCTTGAAGGAATGTAAATCTGACGGTCTAGATGAGATTCGAGCAATGCAGCTCCATGAACTTGCTAGAGAGCTGGCAGATCGTTGTTCATTATGTGCCGGCAATCATTCAATACTGAAAGTCTTCCCCATATAGGAAAACTACCCACATGATACCCCTTGACAAAAGCCGTAGTAGTGCACTTGAAAACATCTACAGACCCGTCAGTCTGACCTCCACATGCTGCAAGATAGTAGAGAAGGTCACCAAAAAGGAATTGATAGCATATTAGGAAACCCACAATCTCTTGTCCAATGCACAATATGGCTTCAAATGGGTAAATCATGTGGGTTACAAACTTGCTTTATGCGATGCAAAGCTGGACAAGGGTAAATGATGCAAAAGACATCACACACGCGGCCTACATTGATTTACGGAAGGCATTTAACAGTGTTCCACACCAACACCTCTTGTACAAGTTGAGACTGATAGCCACCAGAGGCAAACTTATTACGTTGATTGAGAATTTCCTCGCTGATTTTCCCAAATTGTTTGTAGGACGACACCAACCAAGGCCGACAGTCATCGAGATTGGAGTCCCTCAGGGTTCAGTGATCGTACCGACCCTCTTTCCTCTGTTCGTTAATGATTACATACAGGAATTGAACTGTGAGCGTGCCATGTTTGTAGATGATGTAAAAATATGGAAGGTCGTCAAGAGTGCTGCCGATGAAGGTGACTTCCAGAAAAATCTCTGTCGATTAAAAGATTGGTCACACAGGTGGCTCCTGCCCTTCATTTCGAACAAATGCACTCTGCTGCGTCTGGTAAATTGAAATTCGGTCTCTGATGTGCGATCCTACTAGCTGAAGAGAATCCTGCTTCACGAAGCATAAATACAGAAGGATTTTGGCATCTGGATGACAGACAACCTCAAACTTTCTAGACAGTGTTGTAAGGCGGCTAAAGTTGCAACTTCCGTGTTGTACGCCAGCAAGCGAGCTATCACCGTTTTTGAGGAAAAGAGCTTCTCGAAAATCTTCGGTACCTTCATAAGGCCGCGGCTTGAATATGCGATTCAAGCCTGGAGAACATGGATGCGGCAGGATTATAAAGCACCGGAAAATGTGCAGCGGCGGGCCACAACATTTATAAGAGGCCAAGGTGCACTATTATATGAGATCCGCCTA